AGACAACCCTCAGAATGGGAGAAAATATTTGCAAATGAAGCAACTGACAAAGGATTAATCTCCAAAATTTACAAGCAGCTCATGCAGCTCAATATCGAAAAAACAAACAACTCAATCCAAAAATGGGCAGAAAACCTAAATAGCCATTTCTCCGAAGAAGATATACAGATTGCCACAAACACATGAAAAGTTGCTCAACATCATTAATCATTAGAGAAATGCAAATCAAACTACAATGCGATATCATCTCACAGCGGTCAGAATGGCCATCATCAAAAAATCTTCAAACAATAAATGCTGGAGAGGGTGTGGAGAAAAGGGAACCCTCATACACTCTTGGCAGGAATGTAAATTGATACAGCCACTATGGAGAACAGTATGGAGGTTCCTTAAAAAACTAAAAATAGGGCTTCCGTGTTGGCGCAGTGGTTGAGAGTCAGCCTGCCGATGCAGGGGACACGGGCTCGTGCCCCGGTCCAGGAAGATCCCACATGACGTGGAGCGGCTGGGCCCGTGAGCCTTGGCTGCTGAGCCTGCGCGTCTGGAGCCTGTGCTCTGCAACGGGAGGGGCCCCAACAGTGAGACAAAAAAAAAAAAAAAAAAAAAAACAAGAAAAAAAAAACTAAAAATAGAACTACCATACAACCCAGCAGTCACGCTACTGGGCATATACCCTGAGAAAACCATAATTCAAAAAGAGTCATGTACCACAACGTTCATTGCAGCTCTATTTACAACAGCCAGGATATTGAAGCCATCTAAGTGTCCGTCGACAGATGAATGGATAAAGAAGATATGGCACATATATACAATGGAATATTACTCAGCTGTAAAAAGAAAAGAAACTGAGTTATTTGTAGTGAGGTGGATGGACCTAGCGTCTGTCATACAGAGTGAAGTAAGTCAGAAAGAGTAAAACAAATACTGTATGTTAACACATATATACGGAATCTAAAAAAAAAATGGTTCTGAAGAACCTAGGGGCAGGACAGGAATAAAGACGCAGACATAGAGAATGGACTTGAGGACACGGGAGGGGGAAGGGTAAGCTGGGACGAAGTGAGAGAGTGGCATGGACATATACACTACCAAATGTAAAATGGATAGCTAGTGGGAAGCTGTCGCATGGCACAGGGAGATCAGTTCGGTGCTTTGTGACCAGCTAGAAGAGTGGGATATGGAGGGTGGGAGGGAGGGAGACGCAAGGGGGAAGAGATATGGGGATATATGTATATGTATAACTGATTCACTTTGTTATAAAGCAGAAACTAACACACCATTGTAAAGCAATTATACTCCAATAAAAACGTTAAAAAAAATGCTATGCAGCCATTACCATCATCTGCCTCCAGAACCTTTTCATCATTCCAAACAGAAACTTCATAGTCTTTAATAATAACTACCCCTTTCCCTCTTCTCCTGCTCCCTGGCAATCTCTATTCTAGGAACCTAATATAAGTGGAATCATACAATAGTTGTCCTTTTGTGTCTGGCTTATTTCACTTAGCATAATGTTTTCAAGGTTCATCCATGTTGTAGCATGTATCCGTACTTCATTCCTTTTATGGCTGAATAATATTCCATTTAATGGATAATACCACATTTTGTTTATCCATTAATCTACAGGTGGACATTTGGATTGTTTCCACCTTTTGGCTATTGTAAATAGTGCTACTATGGACATTGGTGTACAAGTATCTGTTTGCTTCCACATTTTGGGCATATACTCAGAAGTGAATTTCTGGATCGTACTCTATGTTTAAATTTTTGAGGAACTGCCAAACTTTTCTACAGCGGCTGCACCATTTTACACTCTCACCAGCAATGCATAAGGGTTCCAATTTTTCTACATCTTGGACAACACTTTTTATTTTCCATTTTTTCAATAACAGCCATCCTAATGGGTATGGAGTGGTATCCCACTGTGGCTTTGATTTGCATTTCCTTAATGGCTAGTAATGTTGAGCATCTTTACATGTGCTTATTAGCTATATGTATATCTTCTTTGGAGGAATCTCTTCAAGTCCTTTGCCCATTTTTGAATTGGGTTGTTTTCTTTTTGCTGTCTGTTTATTTACACAACTGATTTTTGACAAAGGTTCAAAAGCAATTCAGCTGAGGAAGGATACCTTTCAATAACTACTGCTGAAGCAATTGGACAGCCATAGGTCAAAAAAAAAAAAAAGAATCTCAATCTAAACCTCACATCTTACATAAAAATTATGCCAAAATAAATCATGAACATAAAACTCTAATGCTTTCAGAATATCACAGGGGGAAATCTTTGGGATCGAGGGTTAGGCAAGGAGTTCTTACACTTGACACCGAAAGAAAGAAATCGGTAAATTGGACCTAGTCAAAATTTAAAATTTTTGCTCTGTGAAAACCCATGTGAAGAGAAAAGGCAAGCTACAGAATGGGAAAAAATATTTGCCCACTACAATCCAACAAACGATTAATATCTAGAATGTATAAAGCATTCTCAAAAGTCAACAGTTAGAAATTGGGCAAAAGACATAAACAGACACTGCACCAAAGAGGATATACAGATTGCAAATAAGTACCTGAAAAAAATGTTCAATATCATTAACCATCACGCACATTATAACCACAATTAGAAGTCACTACACACCTATTAGAATGGCTAAAATAAAAAATAGTGACAACATCAAACACTGGCAAAGATATGGAGAAAGTAGATCACTCATACACTGCTGGTAGAAATGTAACATCGTACAGCCACTCTACAAAGTAGGTTGACGGTTTCTTACAAAACTAAGCATGTTATTATCATACAACTGGACTCTTGGGCATCTATCCCAGAAAAATGAAAAGTTAAGTTCCCACAAAAACCTATACATGAATGTTTATATCAGCTTTATCTGTAATAACCCCAAACTAGAAACAGCCCTGATGTCCTTTGACTGGCAAATGGTTAAACAATTGTGGTACATCCATACCATAGAAAACTACTCAGCAATAAAAAGGAACAAACTGACACAGACAACAACTTGGATGAAGCTGTGGAAAATTATTCTGAGTAAAAAAGTCAGTCCCCAAAGGTTACATATTATATGATTCCATTTATATAACATTTCTGACATGACAAAAGTTTAGAAATGGAGAACAGATTGGTGGTCACAGGAATTAGGGACTTTGGGGGTGGGGAGGGAGGGAAGGGGGTGTGGCTACAAAAGCCCAAGAAGAAGAATCCTTGTGGTGATTTAAGTGTTCAGTATCTGAGGATGGTGGTGAATATGCAAGCCTAAGCATGATAAAACTGTATAGAACTAAACACACACACAAATGAATACAAGTAAACTTACCAACGTCAATATTCTGGTTGTGATATTGCATTAGAGTTCTGCAAAATGTGACCTGGTGCCCCACCTTCATGCACGTCTGTGGGTGAATGCCTTATGAGGAAAAAAAGAAAGAAAAACAACCGTGAGATATCTGAAGACTTTCTAATTATAAAGACCTGGATATAGCAGTGACTTAAATTGGTAAGTGTCTTTTTAAAAAACCCAAACATACAAGTGTTTTCCACTTTGAAAATAAACCACGTTCACTATATTTTAAATCCTCTAAAATGCAAAAATAAAAACACAGGACTGCAATTCCAGCACACAAATACAACCATTTTTAACTTTAATATTTCTATGCATTCCTCCGCAGTCTTGTTTCTGTTCCTAGGGGTTTTTAATTTTGTTTTTTATTTGTTTTGGCCGCGCCATGCAGGGCATGCGGGATCTTAGCTCCCCGACTTGGGATCAAACCCGTGCCCTGCAGTGGAAGCGCGGAGCCTTAACCATTGGACCGCTAGGGAATTCCCTCCGTTCTTAGTTTTTAAAAACACAACTTCATTTACTTAGCAATTACTATTTCGTGTCCTGCCTTTTTAACTCACCGTCACAAAATAACCTTTCCCCCCACACTGTTCCGCATTTTCCAAAGACATTCTGAATGGCTACGTTAAATTTCTTGGTGGGATCATTCACCTTAATTCCCCCCAGCAGGACTGCGGGATGCACATCTCTGCGCAGAACGTGTGGCCCACAAAACTTTAAAAATATGTTCCAGAAGCGGACCACTGGGCCAACTTCCAAGTCTCATACCCAAGACACCCTCATCCGTCAGCCCACCTCGCCTATGTACTTACCGCCTCAACCCGGACCATCTGCGCCTCTGTCCCTTCCCGAACTCCCGGCGACCTCTTGGTTGCCGTAGACTCGTGAGGACGTCACGCAGCGGCGTGGCTGGTTTCCCTGGTGACGGTTGCCGGGGCAGCGCAGGAAGGAGTCTGAAAGAGGTGCCCGAGCTGCTGCAGCCCAAGAAGGCAGCAGCGGAGTGACCACTGTAAGTGCGGGGGGTGGGGGGGAATGTACAGAAGGGCCCGGGCTGGAGCTGGGGGAGCCGGCAGCCACCGGGGCCCTGGCCGGAGCCAGGGCTTCATACCTCTGTAAAGATTTATTGAGCTGTACACTCAGGACTACGCACTTTACTGTGTGTAAATTATAATTCAACCTAAAATTATACCTTAGTTAAAAACAGTAATGATGTCTGAGCCCCATTCCTAGGAGTTAAGATTTTAAATGGTCCAGAGATGTGCCCCAGCATTGCTATATTTTAGGAACTCCTAGGAGATTCTAATGGTCAGCCAGAATTGAGAGCCACTGTTTTTAGGGACAGGAAGGAGTCAACTGTTGAATCTGAGTGATGAGGGGAGTATTCTGATGCCATTCGAGGTCTGGTGGCACATTCAGGCATGGGAGGGTGTGTAGAGAGCTGACGCTTAGCTCGGCTCAGCTTTGGCTTTCAGGGGACCTGAAGTGAGGGTGGGTCTTCCAAGCTTCCTCATGGACACATGCAAAGATAAGGAGCCAACTCCAGGCTTGGGGGTTGTAGACAGGGCTGACTATGTGCTGAGCACTCTTGGGAAAGGAGCAGTTTGTGGAGTTTGCTTAGGCTCAGGCTTCTTTTCCTACTCCAAGGGCAAGATGGCAGAGGATGAAGGCTCACAGGACACCTTGAGGCTCCAGTTCAGGGCCATGCAGGAGATGCAGCACAGAAGGTTACAGAAGCAGATGGAGAAACGGAAGGAAAAAGAACTTAGCTTCCAAAGCAGAGCTGATGACCAAAAAGAGCCCCTGGAGATCTCTGATGGCCTCAGCGTCCTCCAAGCCGGGGAACAGAACTCAAAAACCAGCTTTGAGCAGAGGTAAATGCAAGTTTGGACTCTCCCAGGAGCACTGCAGGGAGGTAGGGAAGGTGGGGGAGAATGACTGCAGATAGTTCGACAGGCAGGTTGACCAGATGTGTGTTTATCAGCTGAGACCCAGAAGTTTTGACACAGAGATTGTTATTGAAGACTCTTGCATCGGATAAAGGGACATAATTTGACTTGAAGTGTATTCAAAAACCACTTAAAGTCAAATGGAAAATTTGAAACTCATCAAGGTGTAGTTTATTCACTTGAATTTTCTTACGTAGTCTCTCTTTCGTGAAAAATGTGTTTTGGTTTTTGAGGAGCTGGTTGGCTGGCTCTGATGATTCACAGGTGATCACCACTCCAAACCTCATCTGGGACTGTTCTCCTGTGTCAATATCCCTTCCCTGACACATAAAGACACATAAACATACCTGTCCTAAAGAAGCAGTTTATGGATTCCTTGCTTGTATATGGTTGATGAAACAGTTGAAAGGAGTCCAGAATCTTCTCATTTTGCTTTAAATTTGCCAATGTCACACAGATGCATTGATTTATGTAGGTTATTAGAAGCAGGAGTCTGGATTGAAACAAAATTGTTTGCTAGTCACTTTGCAAAAAAAAAAAAAAAAAATCACAGCAGTTGTTGAGCTATCTCTTTGCTTCTGGTTTCACCCAGAATCTATCTTCTCCATCTGCAAATTCTACTTTTCATGGTTTCTCGATTTTCACAATGTTCTACTGAAAAATGCTAATTAGGAAAAGATAAAGATTTCTCAATAATTGAAAAAATTCATACGGCTCCTAAATATTAGCTCTAAGTTAACCCCAGACCTATTCCCAAATGATCTTTCCCCAAGTCACAGACACTGGAATTTGTGGAGACTTGAGCTGTTGGTAGAATAACACCAACAATAATAATAGCTGTTAGCTCATAATTACTGTTATCTATAATTTCCGTAACTTATTTACTTCCTGAGCAACTGCCTCTATGGAGCTGGCTCCATGCCTAATGGTAGAAGTGATCACAGACCCACCAGTCACATGTTCCTCATGTTTTAAAGTTCTAAAAAAAATGACTTGCAAGACAATTGTAATAGGGCTTTCCTGGTGGCACAGTGGTTGAGAATCTGCCTGCTAATGCAGGGGACACGGGTTCGAGCCCTGATCCGGGAAGATCCCACATGCCACGGAGCAACTGGGCCCGTGAGCCAGAACTGTTGAGCCTGCGTGTCTGGAGCCTGTGCTGCGCAACAAGAGAGGCCGTGATAGTGAGAGGCCCGCGCACCGCAACGAGGAGTGGCCCCCGCTTGCCATAACTAGAGAAAGCCCTCGCACAGAAAGACCCAGCACAGCCCAAAATAAATAAATAAATTAATTAAAAAAAAAAAAGACAATTGTAATATATAAAACTAGCCACCTATTCTGATTTATTGGGTTTACCTGGGAGACCCAGAGACCTGGTCTCAACTTAAGGCTTAGACAATTCCTCTTTCGTCTTCTAATATACATATGCAATTAAGGCTATAAATTTCCTTCTAAGTATCACTTTAGCTGCTGTTCACAAGTTTTCATACATATTGCTTCCACAGTCAGTCCGTTCTAAATGCTTCATAATACACATTATGATTTCTTCTTAACCCATAAATAATTTAGGAGTATGTGTATGTGTGTGGTTTTTTGTTTTGTTTTGTTTTTTTTCAGTTCCAAGCGTATGATGGGTTTGGAGTTCTGTGTTTTATTTTTGTTCTCTTTTTAGTATACATTTCTAATTTTAGTCAATTGCCATTAAGAAAATGGTCTGTATAATGTCCATTGTTTGGAATTTGCTAAGGTTGCCTTTGAAGCCTAAACTATAATACATCTTTATGCATGTTCCATGGATGCTGGAAAGGAGTATGAATTCTCTGGGTGGGGTTTTATATAGCTCTGTTGAATCCATAGTAAACCATGTTATTGAAAACTTCTTTCTTGGGCTTCCCTGGTGGCGCAGTGGTTGGGAGTCCGCCTGCCAATGCAGGGGACGTGGGTTCGTGCCCCGGTCCGGAAGATCCCATGTGCCGCGGAGCGGCTGGGCCCGTGAGCCATGGCCGCTGAGCCTGCGCGTCCAGAGCCTGTGCTCCGCACAGGAGAGGCCACAACAGTGAGAGGCCCGCGTACCGCAAAAATAAATAAATAAATAAACAATAAAATAAAAATTGGCACATTTAAAAAAAAAAACTTTTCTCTTTTCACTTGTGTGTGTGTCCTTAATCGTTCAGTTGTGAGAAGAGTGTGTTAAAAATCTGCTCACAAAAAAAAAAAAAAAGTCTGCTCACTGAGATTCCCTTAATTTCTCATTCCTATTTTGTACAGACCAGTTCTTATCTCCACCCAGTGCCCAACCAGGTACAACAAACCTGGGCTGTGGAGGCCTGACCCCTGCCCATCGGTTCCTGTGATTCTGCCTTTGCCTTGCAGGATGCTTGAAGATGAGATCGAACGGCTTCGGGATCAACTCAGGGAAACAGTGGATGAGAACGGGCGATTGTATAAGTTGCTGAAGGAGAGGGACTTTGAAATCAAACACCTCAAAAAGAAAATAGAAGAGGACAGATTTGCCTTCACAGGTAGCTCCACCGCTGTTGCGACAGTTTCTGCTCTGAAGTTCATGTCGGCTGGCCCAGCTGCCATGGAGCCTACAGGGTTCCAGAGGGCAGGTGCTCAAGAGACAGTGCAAGGTTCAGCTGTGCTCCAGCTTGTCCAGATGAATCCCGGAAATGAGGGAGAGGGGAGAGGAATGGAGCAGGCCAGGAAGGCCAGCATGCTGGGAAACGGAAGCACGAGAACAGCAGGGGCAGAAGACAGGCATTCCAGGCAGCGTGGGTGACCCCGCTGGGACTCATGACAAGAGTTCTCCGTGATGCTCGCTACATGTTCGGTGGGCCAACGGCACCCATTCTATCTGGATGCTCTGGCTCAAACACTATCACGGACGCGAAAAAGCCCCAGTGGAAGTAGGCATTTACTCTACACCACTTGCTGTTGCTGCTCCAGAAGGGTGGACAAGACAGGGGAGTTCTCTGTTCTGGGAGGATTTCCTGGGATCCAGCAGCATGTACAGTGGACCTTGGCCCTTCAGGTCAGAGTTGGACCTTGGTTCTGTTGCTGGAGACCTTGACCCTGTGGGTCTGTTAGGGACCTTGGGTTTGTGGGCCTGGAGATGACCTTAGCCCTGTGGATGTGGGCTGGACATTGACCACTGACCCTGTGGTTATGAGCTAGACCTTGTTCTTACAGATCTGGTGGGGACCTTGGCTCTGATTGTCCTCTGCTCGATGTACGCCCGTTGAGCAATTCCCAGGTGGCTGACTGAGAAAGCACAAAGTCAGTGTCAGCAATCACAGAGGGCATGATGCCTCACCTGGCATCTGCCAGAGCGTCTCTCTCTGCCTTTGCTAGTAAATGACTTTAAGAGTAGGTGCACCCAGAGGACCAGTGCTGAATTGAAAAGCTAGGGGAATCTGGTATCTTAAAGGCCCTTGATAGCCTGTTGTGCTTCCCTCCATTCTTTGGCCTCTTCTGTCTAAAACAAAACCACACTGAACAGAAGATAACACCTAACCTGGCTTGGGGTTCAGATGCGAAGGGGTAGCTTTTGCAAGGATGTCGAGAAGTTGATGGGCTCCGGGGAGAGCAGGAGATGCCTCCTCACCCCAGGAGACCTGGGAGACAGGGGCCTGCCTCTCTCTTCTCCAGCCTGCCCCACATCCTGTCTTCTGCTGCTTCTGCTGGCATGCTCATGGCCTCATCTGAGTGCCAGCCCCGAGCCTCCCTCAAGACCTCTTAAATCCAGTCCTCACTCAGAAGTCCCCATTTCTGATTTCCAACTTCATGTTTTGAAGAGAAAAGTCTGACAGTCTCAGTTCATGTTTTTAAACCAGGCTACAGTGACAGGCTGCTGACAGCTGAAGGACTGGTTTTCCCCTGGGTGGACTTTTAGTGTTTGCTTTAGTTTAGTTTTTCTGTTTCTTCGTACAGTTTCTTTAGTGATTGCGCTAGTGCTTACAACACACATAACTTTTCATGGTCTACTTAGAATTAATATTTCACCACTTCAAGTGGAATGAAGAAACTTTACCACCATATAAGTCCCTTTACCCTCCCCCCTTATATTACAGCTTTTATATGTATTATGTCTGTATGTGTTGAACATCCCATCAGACTATGCTATCATATTTGCTTACAACCATTATACGTTTTAAAAAACTGAAGGATGCAAAATAGTCTATTATATTTACCCAGATATTTTAGCATTTCTGTGCCTGCCTATTCACTGATGCCCCCATTATAATGGGGTTTCAGCTTCAAGAGTGGGGCTTGTCTGGAGACAGAGTTGGGAGAGAGCCCTGGCTCGCTCTCAGCCCCACTTCCTGCCCTTCGGACTAGAGAGGGCTTCTCTTAGACTTCTCTCTAATGTCTAGTTCCAGGATTTGTAATGCTCTGGGGTCCTGGGAGGAAAACAGAACCAGAGAACTCACCACGGGACCATTTGTATTTCTAGGTTTGGTTTCCTTCCCCCAGGTTCTTCCTCCTTTGCTCCTGATGTGTCCTAATCCACCTCAACAGACACGAGGTGGCCGAGGGCAGCTACTCATCGTTGCCCAAATCGCTGCTGGCCCAGGCCAGCAGCAGCAAAAGCCTGTTCGATGTGTGGGCCTGTGTTTTTAATGGACCTTACCGTTTTCCTTCATTTTAGGGACGGCTGGTGTGGCTGGGGATGTGACTGCCACCAAGATCGTTGAGCTGTCCAAAAAGAACCGGGTGCTGATGGCAGAGTCCGAGGGTGCGAAGACCAGAGCGAGGCAGCTGAGCAACCGCATCCAGGAGCTGGAGCGAGAGGTGAGGGGCCTCAGGCGCCCCTGCCCCGGGCTCCCTGTACCCCACGCCACTCCTCCAGAGGGGGAGCACACTTAGATGCCGTAGGTCCTTCCCAAGGACTGGTGGGTCAGTGTTTGCAATGAGTCCCTCAGTCTCTGTCATATCCTGAGAGGGGTAAGTGTCGGGAAGCAAGGAGGACGCAGGCGGTGGAGAGATAGCCCGACATAGCAAGGAGGACGCAAGCTTGGAGCCTGACCACCTGGGTGTGAATCTCAGCTCCACTACTGACTTGTGTTGTGACTTTGAGCCAGGTATAAGCTCTCCGTGCTTCAGTTTCCTCCACCTGTCACGTGGCAGTTATAACGGCACTCACCCCAAGGTTTTCTGAGGATTAAATGACTTAACACTGTAAAATGCTTAGAACAGTGCCTAGCAGGTAGTTAGCCCCAGAAAGGCACTGTTGAATTGTTGAAGGCATTGTTAATTTATTAACAGGGATCCTTGCTAATCTGAAGCTAGAGCCAGGAGCATTCCACCAGTTCGTCTCACTTTTGTCCACCTTCCTCTTTCTGCTGCCCCTACCTTCCCACAGCTAATGACAAACCCCTTCAGTCGAGAGGAGGGCACAAGCCCCAGCAGTTCATGGTCCCTCAGGAGCTAGAGTGAACCTACGCGGCTTCTCCTCATGTGTCTGGAGGAGCAGAGGCTGGCAGAGGTTAAGAGGCTTTCTCAAATCACACAGCATGTGGTGGTGCCGGATTTCAAATCCAGTTCTGTTGCTCTCCAAAATCCTCCACAGTCATTACACTTGGCATTGAATTAGACCTTCTTTATTCTATAACCTATTTTTTGAGAACCATCACAGGCTCTGGGCCAGGCCCTGGGGAGACCGTGGGGAGCAAAACAGGCCTGGTCCTTGCCCTCCTGGAGACAGACCAGCATCGAGGGCCCCTTAGAGGGGGGAGTATGTACAGTGGGTCCCTGGAGGATGAGAAGGGGCCAGACTCGGAGGAGTGGGGGAGAGGCCCTCATGCAGAGGACCCAGCAGGTACAAAGGCCCTGAATAGGAATAAAGGCCTGAAAGGGGACCAATGTGGCCGAGCTTGGAGCAGGATGAGGTCAGAGAGGTGGGAGGGCAGGTCGTGCCCAGCCTTGTCAGACAGGGATGGTCTTTGTGTGAAGGACAATTGGGAAACCCTTAAAGGGTTGGTTGGCTGTCTGTATACAGCAGTGGTCTTGGCCACCAGGCCATGAGCCTGAGTGGCAGGTTTCTCAGTGTCTCTGACCTTGTCTCCTCAACTGTAAGGTGAAGTCCGTAGTTCCTTTTCTCTCCGCCTCCCAAGGCTGTTGTTAGATGCAGACCATGGTTGCAGAATCATTATTTACTAAGCTGTGCATGAATCCTAGGCTGCGACTGGGGAGTGGGGCAGACAATCAGTTAAACCCTCTCCCATCGCAGAGTGCCTTGTAAAGGAGAGAGTTCTTCCATTCATGGGCCTTAAAATGAGCTGAAGGGACGGACTGCTGAGAAGCGTGACCACACATCCGACGGCAGCACCAGAGCCCTTCACTCAGGCGCCGCAACTGCTGAGCAGAATTAAATATTAAGTGCCAGGTTTGCTTTTTCAGCTGCAGATGGCCCTGGCCAGGCTGCCAGCCAAGGGAGCCACCGATGCAGGAGCCAAGCTGCCGAAGGCCCAGATGGGAGACAGAGCCTTGGTATGAATTCTCTTCTGTGCTGGGGAGTGTGTGAGGCAGCCATGGGCTTGGGCCTCCCCTCTTCCATGCGGGCGCAGGTGCCTCTGTCCGGCATCCACCCCATTGCTGAGCCAGTGCCACCATTGCAGCATCCTCAGAGTAGCCATCAGGGGACAGCGACCAAGTCTACTGTCTGAGGCCAAGAATGCCCCAGTGAAGGCTGCTGAGGGGCTGACTCTGATTTAGTCCCCAGAGAGGGAGGTCAGGAGGGGCCTGAGGACCCTGGAATCCTAGAATTTCAGGACCAGGAGGGAAGGAAGACCTGATCCAATTAGCCTCCTGCTCTCAGCCCAGCTGTAAAGGATGTCCGTTACAGCATCCTTACTGGGGAGACATCCAGCCTCTCTACCTTACCCCAGGGACAGGGAGCTCACTCCTCAATGGAACGCTGGTTTTTGCTGGGGCAATCCATATTGTAAGAAGTCTTCCCTTTGTGGAACTCCAAATCTACAGCGTAAAAGTGACTATTGGGAATGGGGCTGTTCCCAAGATTCCATTTTTTCTAAGCCAATGAGCCTCCATGAAACTCAGGGCATGGGAATTACAGCTCCATGAAAGGAAGGCAGTCTGACCCAGTGGACTACTGGGGAGGAGCATGGAGCCCAAGCCAGACAATAAATAGCTCAGAGTCTCAAGAACATCCCAGGAGGCCTCCCCTTGGTTTTCTTTTCTTTTCTTTTTTTTTTTTTTTTTT